GAAGACGAGAAGTAAGAGCGATGGTTCACGGACCGCACCTGGAATATCCAAATCCAACCCAAGCGACCTTTGTCATAATCCAATCATGGCCTTGATGTCGCATCGCCGTGTCGATCTCATTATGATGTCACTGTTGGGACACCACGGGACACCACATCGATTTTGCCACTGCGGTACACCGAAAAGCACCGCCAGAAAAGAAACAAACTGGCAGGGGGGAGACTGGGACACTCCAAAAGAACGCCAAGGTACCTGCGGACGGACGGACGGGGGAGCAATCTTTATTTTGATTGTGCCCCTGCAGCGGCGGGTTCTTCCCTCTCGCGCGTTCACGCAAATTCATTGCGCCAGCGCGCGCGCACGACGCGAATGAAACGAAACGAAACGATTTCCCGGTTCGGGGTCTCCATTATTCTGCGAATTTGTTTTCCAACCTCAGATTTACATTGATAGCCGTCAGTGCAGAGGCCGCTGGCGCCTTGCATTCCGGGATTAAATTTTGCTTCCATCTGCTAGTACACAACCCCGTATGTATCATTGCTTCTCCTTCGCTTTCTCTCCCCATTCGCTTTGTTTGGCCGTGCTCAATAGTATAATTTTCGGGGCCTCCACCCCCATACAAATTTGTTCCCAATTTTGGTCTGTCGCGCAACGCTGCGATTACGGCTGCATTGTTTCGATATTTTTTCTTGTATCTATACGACTGCCTTACTGGAAATAAGGAGGCTGCGGGGATTGAAATGAAATGCCCACCGCAGTTTCCCGCGATCGCGCCCAAGTGCCGACAAATATTGATTGATGGATTGGGTTGGGTAGATTGGATTGGATGGGACAGAGATAAGTTGGATGAGAAAACATGGGTTTTATAGGAAGAGACGGATTTGACAATATAAGATGGATTGGATTGGCCCACCGCAGGCGCAGAAACACATGAATTGATGGATTGGGTTGGATGGATTGGATTGGGTGGGATAGTATAAGATGTGACAATATGGGTTAGGAAAAATAAGCTGGATTGTATTGAACAAGATGGATTGTATAAAATGAGCTGGATTGGATACGAAAGCCCGCCGCAAGCACCGACCAAAATGAATTGATGGATTGGGTTGGGTGAACTGGATTGGATGGGAAAAAGATGGGTTGTAGAAGATAAGCTGGGATGGATTGCATCAGATAAGATGGATTGGATTGGCTCGCCGCAGGCGCAGAAACAAATATATTGATGGATTGGGTTAGATTGATTGGATTGGGTGGGAAAAGGTAAGATGAGACAAAATGGGTTTGATAAAATAATATGGATTGGATTTGACAAGATGGATTGGATAATTTTCGCCGGATTGGAAATTTAAGCCCGCCGCAGCCGCCGAAAAAATAATAATTTTGAAATTCTTGACGCTTCGCGTATCCCCACCAGCCCCATACAAAAACGACGCCCGAGCGAGTAGAAGTGATCATGGAAGCGGGGCAGCATACAGAGGAACAAAGGGCTGGGGAGGCCGTAGTACCCCAACGGGGGGGGATGGAGATTTATGACGCTGAAGCTAGAACAGTGCCAAGCATTTCACGGATTTAGGGCGGCTTCTTTTCAAAATGTATCTCTCGCCATGGCGCCGCGCGCAGTCTTTGAACAATTACAATAGTTTCATGGAGTGAGGGCGGGTGGTTTCAAAATGTGCATATCGCCGTAACGCCACGCATATTCGTTTTCTCACACCTGCAAGAACTTCACGGATCGAGGGTGGTTCCTTTTCAAAACGTGGCTCTCGCCTTGGCGCCGCACATATTACTTTTAAACATTTGCAAGAGCTTCACGGACTGAGGGCGGGTGGTTTTCAAACTGTGGTTCTCCTGGTAGCCCCGCGCACATTCGTTTTCAAAAACTTGCAAGAACTTTGCGGATTGAGGGCGGTTGCTTTTCAAAACGTTGCTTTCGCGTTAGCGCCGCGCACACTGGTTTTCAGTAGCTGCAAGAGTTTCACGGATTCCCATGGTCAGCGTACCAGAACAAATCTTTCGGAAGGATTCGCGATCATGAGGGCGCCACAAATACGTTGATTCGCGGTGTTGCGTGCCAAACGCGGCGTTCTGGCACGATTCAAGATCTTCAAAACGCAACAGTCAGGTTGATCCGTGGCATGTTTCAGGGTCTTCAAACAGTTGTCTTTTGTTAGAAGCAGCTCATTCAGTGGAAATGAACCGTTCTAGGGGCCTGTGAAGGGGGAGCTTGGAGGGAAGGTCTATTCCAACATCGTTGGTGACTCTTGGGTTTAAACTGGTCCTCCTCCTTCTTCTCTTGCTGCTTCCCCTCTTCTTTCCCCGAACGTTCTTCCAAAGGTTTCTGGCCTGGCTGGGGTACCACATCGTGCAATAGCTGGGCCAAGCTTTGGCCCAACGTTAGGCCACATAGGCGCAAAAGAGGGCAAGGCGACTCGCCATGGCCGACACAACGTGTCAACAACTCTGCGGAACGACCTCCGGCATAATCATATCATTTACCAAACCAATGTCGCTATGTGGGTACAATTTACGCAGCAGCATGCGGTCCATGGTCGGAAACTGCAGCATCTACATTACCAAAGGCGGGCTGTTCTTCAAGTCCAGGGCTTTTTGAACATCGGGGGCGACGTCGGGGTTGTGGTGTATACTTTTGGTTTCCGTTTCTTGGGGAAGCATCCAAACATGTATACATCAAGCTCCCGTATACTCCAGGACCCGTTTTCCCGTACAAGTCCCACCAGCCCTCTGGGCGTGGGTGGTCTAGGGAATTTCCTCTTCCAACCCCCTTCTATCCCTTCGGGGAGGGGTTAATTTTCCCCCCCTTACCCCCTCCCCTTCCTCCTCCTCCGCCTCCTCCTCCTCCTTCCGCCATCCCGGCGCGCAGCCACTTGGGCACGCGTTTGGCGTGTTATCGTCAGTTCATCATCTTCCTCCCTCTTCCTTCCGTCCGCTCGGCGCGCATATGGCGCGTCCAGGCCAGGTTGGCGCGCGTTTGGCGCGTGCGTAATCATCTATCTGATCTCGCGCGCATGTGGCATGTCGCTCTAGTTTTCCTTGCCCACGCGCTTTTGGCGTATGGCTGCGTCGTTCCTACCCCCTCCCCTGGACCTGGACGGGGCGCCCTGCGAGGTGCCAGAGGGCTGAAGACAGCCCAGGATGCTCAAGTCGGCTCCCAGGGTGCTCCAAAGAGGCTCCACGAACGCTCCAAGACAGCTCCAAGACGCCTCCGAGACCTCCAAGGAGGCCTCCAAGAAGCCGACATCCTTCCGAAACCTGAAGGCAAACCTTGTTTTTTGCTGTCTCGCCTTTTCGCTTCCGACGGCCATCCGAGGCCTCAAGATAACTCTTATATGTCCCAAGAGGGCACCAGGAGAGACCCACGATAGCCCCAAGACGACACCAAGAGCGCCCAAGAGCGCTCTCCATGAGAGCCCCAAGAGGCGACTTCTGGGGCTCCCCAGGGGGGGGGGCGAATTAGGGAACCCCTCTTCTTGGATCGATCTCAGAGGAGCCCAATATGCCTCCAAGAGACTCCCAAGAGGCCCACAAGAGGCTTCGAGAGGATATCCGAGGCACCCAAGATGCACCCAAAGGCCTCCGAGCAACTCCCCAGAGATATATGAGGAGGCTCTTATGTTCGTCCTTTTTCCTCCTCCTCCTCCTCATCCTCCTTTGCCTCCTCCTCCTTCTCCTCCTCCTCCTAAGCGCCTCCTCCTCCTCCTCCTCCTCCCTTCTCTCCCTCCCCCACCGCCTCCTCCTCCTCCTCCTCCTCCTCCTCCCCATCCTCCTCCTTTTCACTTCCAAGAGAAATCAAAGGAGACTCCGAGAAGTCATTCAAGAGGCTTCTGGCTCTTCTGTTCACTATTTTTCCTCCTCCTCCTCTTCGTCCTCCTCCTCCTTCCCCTCCTCCTTTTCAGCATGCTCCTACTCCTCCCTCCTCTCTCCTCCCCCTCCCCCCCTCCTCCTCCTCCTCCTCCTCCTCCTCCTCCTCCTCCTCCTCCTCCTTCTGCTTCTTCTTCTACTCCTTCTTTTCCTCCTTATCAGCCTTTTCCTCCTCCTCCTCCTCGTCCTCCTCCCTTCTCTCTCCTCCCCCTCCCGACCTCTTCCTCCTCCTCCTCCTCCTCCTCCTTGTCCACTTTCTCCTCCTTCATCCTCCTCTCCGCCTCCCCCTCCTCCTCCGACGACGATGACGATCCCTCCTCCTTCTTCCCCCTGATGGGGCACGACGGTTCCTCATGACTTGTTGCTCTGTATGCTCCCCCACGTCATTGATCAGGGCAGCTCGTCCGGGCATCGTCGCTGGAAGGGCTGCCCTTCTCCTTTCTCCTCCTTCTCCTCCTCCTCCTCCTCCTCATCATCATCATATTGCCTCCCTCCTCCCTTCATCACATACCTGGGTCCAAGAGACGACTTTTGTGGCTCCCGAGGGAGGCCCTCATTAAGGAACACTTTTTTATGGATTTCCTCAAAGATGGCCCCAAGAGCGCCCCTGAAGCTTCCAAGAGCACCCCAAGAGGGCCCCAAGAGGCGCCCAGACGGCCCCAAGAGGCGTCAAGGAAGCCTCCAAGAAGCTCCCACGAGACCCCCAAGAGGCCTCGTGGGGATGCCCGAGGCACCCAAGACGCTCAAAGACGGCACTGGGCTCGCCAAGATGCCTTTTCTCCTCCTCCTCCTCCTCCTCCTCCTCCTCCGCCTCCTCTGCCTGTCCACTGTCTCTTCCTCCTTCCTCCTCTTCGCCCTCCTCCTCCTTCTCCTCCACCATCCTCCCCCTTTTGGGGTATCGGACGGTTCACCCCGCCCTTTGTTCTTCTGCATGGTCCCTCGCTTCCCTGATCACCTCAACTTCCCTGGGCATCGCTTCTGGATGGGCTGGTGGGGACATGCGAAACGTCAACAATTTCAATTCAGGGCCGGAACGAGCGTCGGTGTATAGAGTTCATTTGCCTACCTGGATCAACTGCGTGGTAACTGTGCGGCCGTCTGCTGCCTCGCTCGCCCCTTTTTTCCATCGTCGCTGCATCGAATCTCCCAGCACCCCGCCAAGATGGTGCGACGAAAGAAGGACAAGGTAGACCGTAGACACATTGCCTGAGGTCTAGAGCTTCTGTGGGATTCAGGCCAACGGTCTTCCATCAGGGAGGGGAACGAAGATGCAAAGACCCTTGTCCCGTGCCTTTCCCCCCCTGACAAGCAGAACCTTGGCAAAAAGAACCTCGGCGGAATCCAAAGGTTCCAGAGCGGAGGGTTAGGCAGGCCAAGGTTCTGCTCTGAATCTGAAGACCGTTGCCCAAGTCCAGAACTTGCCACAGGCCAGCGGTCTCCCAAAAGGGCAAGGAACGAACATGCGAGTACCCTTTTTCAGTGCCGTGCCCCCCCTGATCTCACGAATTGCCGTTTTTCGGGATGCACAAGCGACGGGAACGCGAGACAAGCAAGAGCCTGGAAGAGGGTGAGTAGTACGTGGTCAAGTGGGGTAGGGACGTAGGGTGCAAAGTATGTGATAGTTCATACGGTGATGGGAAAGATATGCTAGGGAAGCCACATGGCCAGGTGCAGCAGTGCTATGCTGATAACTTTGACCCAGATCGGATCCCAGCTGTCTAGTCATTCATGTATGGACGAGCGAATTGGCCATCTCCCCGTACATGAAAGTATCGATGAGCCGAGTTTGGACAGATGGGATCAACCTCCGTCCTCCATCCTCCTCTTTCCACACGCGCACGACACAGTCGGTGCATCTGGCCACCCCTATACCCACAACCAGCTACATCGACGAACGATCTCACCGATGATTGTATGGACGACTGGATACAAGGTTTCCATTCAGAGACAGCAAGCGCCCATCCATCCTATATTGAGCTATCATCTGTATTTGTAGATTTGTAGATACATGGATGCGTCACGAACTCTATTGACGAGTCGAGCCGTCCACCAATGAATTGATGGAATATTGATCCCAATCATCTCACGGTTCAACCACGGATAGGGAGAACTGCCTACTTCACGATTGAACCATCCACGGATGGATTGATGGACGGATGTGTGGTTGACACGACCAAGACAGATTTCCCGGTGGAGGGGTCACTACGATGTACTTCGGACTTTCCCCCTCCTCCTCCTCCTCCTCATCCTCCTTCTCCTCCTCCCCCGCCCCCTCCTCCTCCTCCTCCTCCTTCTCCTCCTCCTCCTCCTCCTCCTCCTCCTCCTGCTCCGCACCGATCCCAGTTCCCGCTGGCATGGCTGTGGCCCCACAGGCCGATGGACCCCCCTGGATGAGGACACAGGCTGCGCCCTTCGGGCTTCGAGAGGCCCGCTCCTGGCTGGGAGGGCGGGATGGTGGGACTGAGACACCGTGGCCCGGTGGGGATGGGGATGCACTAAACGATACCGACCAGACGAACTTTTCGGGGAGTCCACGCATGTTCTTCTGAGAACAAGATCGTGTTCCTAGAACGCCGGCTCAATGTGTTCAAACAAGACAGTCTCAGCCGTACATTTTCTGAGAACACTGCGTGCAGACCACACAAATTCTTGGAACATGTTCTGGTGGGCCTGTAAGCCAGCTGGGACGCTCCGCCATCGAATCGGGCGAGAGGCAGCGGGGGGAACCCAAGCCCCCGACGCCGTGATTTTTTCATAGCGTCGACCCCCGGAGGTCTCGACCCATTCCCCAAAAACCGGTTTTTCGTCCTGCGTCGTTTTTTGAAGCTCCCAAAGCCGGGAAAAGCACCCGGAAGCCCCAAAACGCGAACCCCCCCCCTCGTGATATCTTCACAACGCGAGGAGCTCTGGGAACGGGAAACCGCTGGCGCCCGGCCGCGGAGCAAGGGACCGAGGGGCGGCATCGCGAGGGGCGGTCACCGCGAGGCCTGGGCCATGAGCAGGGGCCTGGTGCCCGCCAGCCCCCCCTGAGCGGGGGCCACGGCGGGCCTGTGAGGGGGAGGGCGGGCGAAGGAGGAAGGGGGATGAACCGGGGGATTGCCCTGAGAGGTGCGGATGTACCGAAGGCTGCGCTGGCACTGGGAGGTTCCTGTGGCCTGTGCTGCTGCTGCAACTCCCCTACCCATGCTGGCACTGCTGACGCTGCTGGCAACAGGGATGGACGCAGCAATACCCCTCTCTCGTTTGAAACTACGGGGAGGGAGGAGGACCAGTGTAAACCCAAGAGCCATCAACGATGTTGGAACAAACCCACCCTCTCAACTCCCTCTTCATAGGCCACTACGAAGGTTCATGTCCACTGGAGGAACTGCCTCGCTGGAAGACAACCGTTTGAAGACCCTGAAACATGCCAAAACATTGTTCTCTGGATTCCAACGCCACGGATCAACCTGACTGTTGCGTCTTGACGATCCTGAATTGTGCCAGAACGCCGTTCCTGGTACTTCGCCACCGCAAATCAACGTAACTGTTTCGCCCTCATAATCCTCAATCCTTCCAGCGCGCAAATTCTGGTACGCTGATCATTGGGATGCGTGAAACTCTCTCTCTCTCTCTTTCTTTTTTTTGTGCGCGGCGCTAATAAAACGAGAACCACATTTTGAAAAGGAAACACCCTCAATCCGTGAAATTCCTACGCACGTTTAAAACAAATGCACGCGGCGCTAAGGCGGAAACCACATAATCAAAACCAACCGCCCTCCTTCCGTGAAACGCTTGCAAATGTTTTAAACGAGTGTGCGCGGCGCCATAACGAGAACCACACATTGGAAACCACTCGCCCTCAATCCGTGAGACTTCTGCAAATCCTTACAACGAATGCGCGCGGCGCTGAGGCGAGAGCCACATTTTGAAAACCAGTCGCCGTCCATCTGTGAAGCTGTTGCCATTCCGCAGGCTTCAGGGTCACACGTGGTGAGGAAGTCTCGGGCGAAACGCCCGGCCTGCCCAAAAAACTGGCCTCGGGGTGCGACAGGGAGAAAGCATTGATAAGGACGAGGGGTGGAGGAGAAAAACCGGGAGGGAAGATGGAATTGAGGAGGAGGAGAAGGAGGAGGAGGAGGAGGGGGAGGAGGAGGAGGAGGAAGAGGAGAAGGAGGAGGAGTAGGAGGAGGAGGAGGGGGAGGGGGACGAGGAGGAGGAGGAGGAGGAGGAAGGAGGAAGGAGGACGGAGGAAGGAGGAGGGAGGAAGGAGGCAGGAGGAGGAGGAGGAGACGAGCAATGTATACACCTACTTGGCCAAGCCAGGAGTGCGTGTGCACCGCTCGTGGGCCCAGGATGGGCCAGGCCTTGGGCAACGTCTATATGTATGCGCCACGTTGCCGCCCATGTCGGCCCCCATGTCGGCTCGCCGGCGCTCGTGGGGCACCCCGTGCGCTGGGTGGGTCCGCCGAAGTTGCGCCCACGTGGCCGCGCGTGCCGCCTCGCGGGCGGTCGGGGGCGCCGTGCGCTGAGCTTATTCTGCGTGTTCTACACCACCTCGTACTTTGCACGGCATCACCGCATTCTTTGCACGACATACTTGCACCGTGTGCTCTAAATCTCCTATGAATCGTCCCGCGGGTCTGGTTATTAAAGAGCATTGTTTGTAACAAAAGGGGTCCAATTTAAAAGGGCGCTTTCTATGGATTGGAGCTTAGGGGGTCCGGTTCATTGAGGCGCCCCGTCAAAAAAGGGGGTCCGGAATATTAGGTCGCATTTGGAGGGGGGTCCGGTTTTTTAAGGGGGGGTCGATTTGTAAGGGATTTGGAGTAGCCTACACTGCGTACAGTGGAGACCCGTCCACAAGAAACCCAACCCTGAGACCCCAGGACGTCCATCGATTTTGGTGCGGGAGCGTCGCGCTTCCACCACAAAAGCATCGGAACCAACGAAACCCAGGGCACCCTGGAGGCAAGTAGGGTGTTTCTTGGCATGGCCCCCCACTGTATTATCATCCCCCAAAAAGAATCAGCTCTACCAACCTTCCAGACTTCGGTATCCCCTTTGGGATGATACGCGTCACACAGGATGCTGCCTCATCATTAATGTCCCATCTGAAACCATACAATCTTGGCCAAACCCGTATCGATTCCCCTCGCCTCAATCAAACAGTATGATGCGCGCAAACTCGTTCACCTCAACATATTATTATAATTATTGAGACACAAATTACAACGATGTCCACACGCGTTCGCACACACACACACACACCGAAAAATCGTATCATGTTTTCCAACACAAATAATGACGCGCTGCTCTGTTGTTAACACAATTCATGCAAATGGTCTGCCCGCGCGCACTTGCTGAAACCATGTGGTTTTCGTCATCTCGCCCAACACCCGCATGCTCATCTCAACACGCGGTGCATCTGCGTTGATCTCGCATGCGCCCAATGCGCAAACCTGTGCCATAGGATACCATGTGGGCTATATGCGCGCGTCGCCGCTCGCGCCTCGCGCTTGCGGAGATCCTCGAAACACCATGCGCTTCCGGAAACAAATCAAGGTAGAGCTCCCCAAACCCAAACGAACACCCACATGTTTTCCCAACACATACTCTTCCAAATGTATTGAATCCGTGCACGCGCGTTCTGCCCACCACCCCCATTAACGCCATCGGGCCATCGTCGTTATCGTAATCGTCGATCGCGGCCATTGCCGCCATTATCAACACTATCGCCTACATCACCGACGCCTGGGCATCATCGTCGTCGTCATCAACATCGGCCCGTCATTGGTCGTGCCGTCGTAATCGCCACCATCGGCGCCACCATCGCTCTTACTTTCATTGCTGCTGCCATATACTGCGTCCGCCCAGATCACCGACCCGCACTGAAGTGCCAGCGTGCCAGCGAGGCCCTTGCGACGCGTGGGGAAATTGGCATCCGTAGGCGCCATCGTGGCCGCGTCAACTATGCCAAACCAGCTGTTCGCTCTGCGCGCGAGCGTGCGCGCGCCTGTATGGCCGTAGAGACGCGCTGGCAGACCCCAGTCGGTAACCACAATCGTGGCCAACTCGGTGTTGCCAAGCAAATCCCAAATGAGTGGATGGGGGTGCTTGTACAAGCAGTGGAGTTGTTGACTTCAAGACGGTCCAAACCATTTACGCACACCACATAGCTGGCTCCGCATAGCGCCCACCTCCAACCCCCACTACATACATTACACGACATAGCTGGCACAACATTGATTCTCCCTTTTGACAAGCCCCACCCCATCCCGAGGTCGGGCGCGGACTTTGCACGCAGGCCTGCCCCACGTTCATTTTGAATCTGCAACCGTACCATGCCAGGCACTCTTGGTATCGAGCTCCCCGAAGCCCTGCCCACTAATTTGCGTTGATATATGAGTTGTTCCCAACCAACCTGTGTTGTTGGGTCTTCGTTTTGAAAAGACGGTCCCCGCGTCTCTTCCTCCTCCTCCCTCCTCCCCTCCTCTCATCATCATCCGCATCCTCATCATCACCATCATCGTCGTCATCATCAGCAACATCAGCATCATCGACATCATCACACGTTGCGTTGCCCCCATAAGGGCTCCGCCGAAGGCCCCTATGGCACAATTCGCATGCGCCCCCGCCACTCATTTCGGTACACCCCTCACACGTTTCGTGGCCCCATAGGAGCTCCGCCGAAGGTCTCAGTGGAGTCCGCGTGCGTCCCCGCCACTCATTTCGGCACACCTCTCACACGTTTCGTGGCCTAGTGGCACAGTCCGCATGCGTCCCCACCACTCATTTCGGCACACCCCTCTCACGTTTCGTGGCCCCATAAGAGCTCACCCGACGGCCCCCGTGGCACAGTCCGCATGCGTCCCCGCCATGTATTTTCGGCCCACCCCTCACACGCTTCGTGGCCCCATTAATGGGGCTCCGCCGAAGGTTCTGGTGCCGCAGTCCGCATGCGTCCCCGCCACCCATTTCGGCCCACCCCTCACACGCTTCGTGGCCCCACAGGAGCTCCGCCGAAGGTCCCACTGGCACAGTCCGCATGTGTCCCCGCCACTCATTTCGGCACACCCCTCGCACGTCGTTTCGTGACCCCATAGGAGCTCCGCCGAAGGTTCTACGGGCACAGTGTGCATGCGTCCCCGCCACTCATGTCGGCCCACCCCTCGCACGTTTCGTGGCCCCATAAAAGCTCGGCCCAAGGTCCCATTGGCACAATCCGCATGCGTCCCCGCCACTCATTTCGGCACACCCCTCACACGATTCGTGGCCCCATAGGAACTCCGCCGAAGGTCCCTGTGGCTCAGTCCGCGCGCGTCCCCGCCACTCATTTCGGCGCACCCCTCACGCGCCATAGGAGCTCCGCCGAAGGTCCCAATGGCACAGTCCGCACGCGTCCCCGCCATTCATTGCGGCCCACCCCTCGCGCGTCGAGGGGAGTCCTTGCTGCGTTCTGCCCGGCGCCTCGCTCGCCCGTCGTCGCTCTGCCCAGCGGCGAGAGCCTTGCCCGCTATCAGCCAGCCAGCTAGCTCTCTTTGCTCCGCGCAGCGGGCGACCCGCGCGCGTCGCTGGGACCCCTCCGGGGCGACCTGCGCGCGTCGTGGGGGCTCCGCGCTGCGATGCGCCCGCAGCCTTGGACTTTTGAGTGCGCGGGCAAAAAAGGGGCAAACAAAAGGGAGGAAGCGGGCGCGGTCCTCGCGGGGGGGCGCGCCAACATTGGCGTCGCGGCGCGCGGGCGATGCCGTCGGGGAGTCCCGGGGAAGCTCCTTGCGGCGGCCACGCCCCGCGTCACGAGTACTCAGAGGCAGTCGTTTTCAAACGATTGACATTCATATACAAGTACACCATGCTTTGTCGTACTCGCATTCGTGCACGTAGACTCGCTCGCATGCAGATTCATTCACAGTCAGACGCGCTCGCGCTCAGATTCACCCGCGCTCAATCTCCCTACGTACTCAGATCAATCGTTTTCGTTCGCGTTGTGTACCACGCCACTGATTTCGGCACACCCCTAGCACGGT